GACAGAGCTCCAGAAAGTGAAGGGTGGGGGTTGTCCTGGAGTGTGCACAGAAGGGACAGAGCTCATACTGCACTTCACTGTGACAGACCAGCGAACATGAGGTGCCAATGTCCAGAGCCCTTTACAGACAGAGCAAGAGTGCCTGACATTGTCTAACAACCAGTCAGCAATACCACTAATCATAAGAGCACTATTTATCACAGAACTGTGTCAGCTCTGGAGACATAAGGGATCTCAGGGAGATTTTTTTTCACTTTCCTGTTTTATAAATGAGGGGATAACAGTTCCTACTTACAGGGATGATCGGGTGTTTATTCAAAAAAATCACATGAATACACTGACATATAGTATGTGCTCACTCAATGTTAGTCATTGCTTATTATTAGAATAATGGTGACCTCCACCTCATTAAAAAGAAAATAAAAAAGGAATAGTTAAGCTTCCAAAAACACAGCAGTTTCAAGATCTTAACAGCATTGTATGGTTTATAGCAAGTCACAGAGCTCTAAAAGTGGTAGAGCTGATCTTTGACCCAGATCTGTCTGATACCAGCAAGGGTGTTTTTGATGATGCTACACAATGGTTCCAAAGGGAAGAAAGGGACCATCTCCCCCTGGTTCTGCTGCTAGATCAGACTGCAGCTCGGGGAGGGGAGAGACCCTCTTCTGGGCAATAGCTAGGGTGGCGGTGATCTTGACTGTTCATCCCACCCCTCATTAGGTGGTAACATATCCCACACTGTCGGGGACATAGCAAGCTTGATCCTTGAGGTGCCTTAGAATGAGGAATTATGGGCTGGAGGGATAACTCAGGTGTTAATGGCTAGGCTCACAACCAAAAATATAAGAATAAGGAATTATTAGAATAAGTCATTAGAATAAGGAATCTTGTCAGAAGATCATGATGGTGCTTGGTGGGTAATGACCATTTTGCCATAGCACAGCATAAACATGAAGGGGAGTCATTGGGGTGCTGACTTTACAAATAGGAAAATGCCTTAAATAGGTGAAATTCTTACTTGAGAGTCTGTACCTAGAAAGTGAGAGAGGTAGGATTTGAACTCAGCTCCTATCAGCTACACTGGTCTTTCCAACCTGTAATGTTTGTCTCCATCTCTGCTGCCCCTCCCATCTCACACTCAGGGCCCTCTGACTTTCCTCTTTTCCCCATGGTTCAGTTGTCAACAACCTCCCCAGAGACTGTACTTAAGTCTGCCAGTGGTGTGCTAGATTTGGCTTATGCTGGCCTACTAGAGCAAACTGCTATGCTTTCAGGAATTTGTGATCCACATATCACTCTGGTTAACTGAAATGGCCAAAGGGATTCTTCTTTTTAGAAGTGGGCTCCCATGTATTGAAGACTGGCCTCAAACTTACTATCTAGTTGAAAATGTCCTTGGACCTCTGATTTTCTTCCTCTACCTCCCCAGTGTGGGGTTGTAATTGTGCACCCCCATGCAGGGCTATGGATCGGGCTCAACTTCATGCATGCTAAGCAAATACTCCTCTAGCTGTGCTCCATCCCAACTCCACCAAAGAGTTATTTATAACAGAGAAATGAAGAAATGCAACCAATCAAGGCTTCACGACTCCCCTCTGCTAACACAGTTACTGTGACCCATTTTTTACCAGCATGCTGCCAGGCCCTTGTCATTGTCTGCTAAGGAACCCCAGATACCCGAGACCATTTTCCAAAATGCCTGGAAGGCACAGGGAGCAGCCGAAGCTATGTATGTGCATGTCATCACCTGCAAGCACTCTATCTTCCTGATACACTGTTTCAGTAGGCCAAAGACTATTCTGGGAGGCCAGAACCACTTTCACAACATGGTTCAGGAAGACAGGCATATAATCCCCAACTACATACATATTTAAATAGAAGTTCACTCCATCCAGAGTGCAAGACAGCGGTGACCATGAATAACTAATTAAAACAGTTCTATAATGCTTAAAGAAAATTTCAAAAAGATGCCCATTCATACAACAAGGATGTCTGTTCCACTATGTTCATAGCAGCATTATTTGTAATAGCCAGAACTTGGAAGCAACCTAGATGCCCCTCAACCGAAGAGTGGATAGAGAAAATGTAGTACATTTACACAATGAAGTACTATTCAGCAGAAAAAAAAAACAATGGAATCCTGAAATTTGCAGGCAAATGGATGGCACTAGAAGAAACCATCCTGAGTGAGGTAACCCAGTCACAAAAAGAGAAACATAGCAGGTACTCTCTCATATATGGATTTTTAGACATAGATCTGGGGAGTGCCAGCCTACAATCCCATGGCCAGAGAGTCTGGGAAACAGAACCTTCATTCAGTGGCTGATGGAAGTACAGGCAGACTCCCACGGCTAAGCACTGAGCTGAATTCAAGAAATCCAGTGACAGAGAGGGAGGCCAGATGACCAGATGACCAAAGGGATTAAGACTGGGCTGGTTTAACTTCCAGAAACAGCTGACCTGACAAGAGTTAGCTCTTGAATCCCAGACTGATGCCTGGGAATCCAGCATGGAACTGATCAAGACCCCCTGAATGTGGGTGTCAGTGAGGAGGCCTAGGTAATCTATTGAGTCTTGGGTAGTAGATCAGTGTTTATTCCGGGTATACAAATGGACTTTGGACTCCCATCCAACAATGAAAGATGCACTCTCACCCTGAACTCTTGGGGGAGGGTCTAGGCCCTACCCTGGATGAAATTACAGACTATGGACACCCCCATGGAGGGCCTCACCCTCCCTGGGAGAATGAGAGGATATTGGGGGGGGTTGGTGGGAGGGCATGGGAGGAGGGGAGGGAAATGGAGAGGGACCTGGAATTGACATGTGAAGCAACCTTGTTTCTAATTTAAATTTAAATTTAAAAATAATATATATATAAATAAAGAAAATTTTTGAAATGTTAAATATAAACAATTGGTATTAGAAGACAAGAATTTTTATGTTTGTTTTACACACACACACACACATCCTGAAAACATTAGATACTACAGCCAAAGGCTACAGAATGAATTATTTCTTTATGAAACTTTTCTTTTTTTAGTTTTTGTTTATTTTGAGATCAGGTCTTGCTGTATAGCCAAAGCTGGCCTGGAATATACCATGTAGCCAAGGCTGGCCTGGAATATACCATGTAGCCAAGGCTGGCCTGGAATATACCATGTAGCCAAGGCTGGCCTGGAATTTATATTGATCCTCTTGCCTCAGTCTCCTTAGTGCTGGGATTCAAAGCACACACCACCATTTGCAGCTTGTATTTGAATTCTTCCACGACTCTTAAGAAGTAAAGCAGGTGTGGTGGCATCTACCTATAATCAAGACACTCTGGAGGCTAAGGCTAGAAGATTTAAAGTTCAAGCTTGGATTATATATATGATGACATTATCACACACACACACACAAGCGTGAATGCACGGGCACACACACACACACACAATCACTACCACAACCACCATCACCAACAATAATAATTAAAGAAAATAAAACCATGAATTTGAAAGAGAGCAAGGAGGGTGCATTGAAGCGTTTGGAGGAAGAAAGGATAAGGGAGGAAGTGATGCAATTGTATTATAATCTCAAAAATATTTTTTAAAAAAGTGAAAGTGTAAATTCCATTTTGTGAAAAGTTAACTAAAGTTGCATGACTATGCTTTCATTATGAAACGTGAGCTGCATGCTTCATTCACACAAACACAAACTTGACGCCATGTGATTTATTAGTCCTATGGTGAATCCTCCAGGCTCAAGGCTTGGCACCTGGCCATTGATCAATGGGGCCAGGACGTATGTAGTTCTGTATGCCTTCTAACCTACTGGCAAATTATCAGTGGGGCCCTGCTGAAGACAAGTGATTCTTTGCATTGCAAAAGTAGAGAGAGGAACAGTATTATTTTGCCCCAAACTAAAAAGGCTAGGTATCCTCCCAAGTGGTCTGGGCCAAGTTCATGAAAAACTTTAAAGATCGGGTCCTGCCCCATCACACACACACACACACACACACACACACACACACACACACACACCTGTGTCTTCTAGTGAGACAGCAGCAAGGAACAGAAGCATCTTTGACTCACTGACCACACAGCTAAAACTTCAGTACTCATCTCTGCCCTACCTCTAATGATGTAAAAATAATACAACGATATGATAAGAAATCACACACAGTTTGAGAAGTAGTCGAGGAAGACTAACCAAGAGGCTCTGCATACAACCAAAGGCTTCTGCACTTAGGTTGATGTCTAACACTTTCAATTACAATGAAAAGAGTCTGGTGGAGAAGGACATTTGCCCAGGTCTATTCACTCAGTGGGAAGCACAGAGTTTTCCTGATCCCCACGCAGTGCTTCTACCACACTATATTATTTCCATGTATTTATTTACTTTTGTTGTCACTGTTGCTGTCAAAAGGCAGTTGTCTTTAGATACATCTAGCTAAGCAGCCACTGTAGGGAGGAGCCCTTGTCTTCAGGCAGATACTTTGTGTTCCATTGTCACACACTCCTAGTTTCTTGAGACGTTGTGCCATGGGTGAAGATGGTCGCCACATGCCTTACAGCTTTCAGAATATTACATTATTATTCTGCGTGTATACACACACACACACACACACACACATGAAATACAAAATATTTGAGGATATTATCTTTTGTAAAACAGAGAAACTGGGCTAGGCTACCCCTTATGTCCTAATAAAAAATAATTAATATTCTACTTCTCTATACAGCCTGTAAAATACCATATACTTCCCATGGACTTCAAGTTCTATCCACAAAAGTCATCCCATAAAATATTCCTATGCTTATAAATTAAACATAACTTTTGGATTCTAGAACCAAAATAGCCAAATCTAACATCTGACTCTCTGATCTCTTTGATTTTGCTTCGATCTCGGCATATTTTGTTGTTGTTAAACACAACGTGCTTATATTCCAGGTGTTCAAGTTTATCCTACAAATCAGCTCAATCTAAACACAAAACAAAGACAAGAGCAAGTGTTTTCATACCCCATGGCGATCCTCGAAGTATGCCAGGCTGGCTTTCGTTAAAACAAAGAAACGGACTTTAAAATTCGAGGGAGAAGTCCTTCTCTTCTGCTGGGACTTCTTGATCAGCTGTTCTTCTAGGAGGATGAAGTTGTTCATGGTCCAGCTCTGAAAAGTGATGCGTATTGGGCATCACACCTCAGTGCAACCGATGTAGAGAAACAGCTGGGAATGCAACAGGATACAGTTGATCTTGAGAGACTCGTTCAAAAGCAACTTGCCTCCAACCTTATCTTTTCTATCAACATCAGCCAGCCTCACCGCTGAGCTCCTCCTCTGATGTCAAAGGCCGTGACCACATCCTTTCAAAATTCACCAAGCTAAGAAGCACATGCAAACATATGCGCACCCTTTGCTATAAGGTTTGGAAATGAGGTTTGAAGAAACTTAGAAACATAAAAGGAATTCAGTTTTAATTTTCATAGTTCCTGGTTTAGCCATGTAGAAAAGAAAGGGGAAAAGAACCGTGGTCCATGGGTCAGTGGAGCACAGCTTGTGTACGTTTCCCGTCGCTGTCATGAATCGCCACAGGCTTACTGACTCTGAGTTCCTTGGACTTATCTTACAATTCTCTAGTTCAGAACTCTGAAATGGATCTCACTGACTGACAATCATGGTGATAGTGGGACTCTGCTCCTTTCTGGTGGTCTCTGGGGGACACTGCCTCTGTGACTGTCCTAGCTTCTAAGGGACACCCAGGTGGCCTTTGTCTTGGCTCTCTTGCTCCATCTTCAAACTCAACAACTGCAGGCGGAGTCCTGCTTCCTCCATATTGCCGGGACCTCTTCCTCCTACCTCTGCCACATTCAAGGACCCCGAGAAACACATGAGAGCCACCCACCCCAAAGTGATCATCTAGGCCAGGTACCCTACTTTAAGGTCAGAAGACAGGTACTTGGTATGGTAATTCTCCTTTGTCACCCAACTTCATACAGTCACAGGTTGTAGGGATTAGGACATGGAAAGACTTGCACAGGGCTGTTTGAATCCATTGATACCACCTAATACCTACACAATGGCTTGGAATTTCAGTTCCTTCATCTGTGAAAGGAAGCAATGTCGGCCCTGTATGAAGCACCAAAGGGCTCCCTTTTGACTCTTCTGTAAGGCTCACAGTATGCCTGGCTTTAAGGGTATCACAAGAGCCTTCTGTGTTGTGCCACTGCACAAATATGCTATATGCCGTGTCTCTTTCTTCTGATTCACTCTGAAGTGATATTGCCAGCCTCAGCCAACATGCACTTCCTCTGGGGAGTCTTGCAGACTTTCCCACATGGAATCTTCTAACCTATTTTCCCCCTGCATATAGTACCCTTTCCAAGGAGGCAGCGTGCACAGACAAACAACTAGCTACCTCCTTGTGAGGGTCTTTGGGAATGGAATTTCATCTGCTCTGTGAATAACGCATGTTACTTATGAATCTAGCCTAGAGTCAGGACAGCGTTAAGATGTAGTACTCATGTGAGGTTCACGGTGACCAGGACGTTAATAACTAAGAAGTCCCAATGCAAGCAGGGGCAGCACAGATCAGAGAGGGATAAAGGATGAGACAAAGTGGGAGAGCACAATTCTCCAGTTTATTTTTAGGTGTAAATGACTAATTACAGCTTCCTTTCACATCATGCATTGGCAGCGGTTGAATAATGAATGCAGAGGGAAGGGAAGGGAAGGGGTGGGAGGGGAGATCTTCTGAGATTTTAACACATGGAAACATAATGTACAAAAGAGGCAAACTTTTCAAAATATAGTTTGCAGCAAAGATACTATTTTCCTTCTCTTTCTTCTTTCTTGGGTAACTGACTCCCTGAAAATTATCTGGACATCTGGTCAGCCTGAGTAAAGAATACGTTATTTTTTAGCCCTTCCAGTAACTTGGTAGAACCATGTAACTCTTTTCTGAACAAAAAAGTATAGCAGAACTGGAAGCGTCCTGGCAGCATGTGATGATCTACACCTGTAATCTCAGTTCTTGGGAGGCTGTCTCAAGGAAATAAGGGAGCTACTTAATGGGAACGTTCCTAGCTCCTCCATCTCTCTTCCTACTGATTATGGTATTGATTTGATGGGTGGAGCTGGAAGAACTACATTATACTATATGATGTGGAGGTTACATGTTGAGAACGACTGATCACATGATAGACTGAGTCTGGGGTTATAATGATCATGGACTGGATCATTCACACTAGCTGTGGAGCACCTGTTCCACGCTCCATCTTAGACAAAGGGCTGAGAAGCAGTAGACTATCTTATGGAAAAAGAGATATACCATTAATATTTTCTAGGACCATGTTATTTTATGTTACTGATATCATACCCAACTTTAACATTATACAGTATCATGTACTACCTTCTCAGCTATACTGTAAATTACTTTGAAAAGGATAGATTTGTGCCAGGTTGGTTCAGGCATGATAATTTACAAACTTTACACAGCACTTTCACCTGAGAAAGTGGAATATGAGGAGTTATTGCCTTCCATTTGCCAAGTCTCTATGTAGCACAATAAAAATAATTTTATTTTCTACCACACAGGACACTCCAAACCACTTACTGGGACTTGTCTATATTCACTCTTAAATATAATGCTAGAACCCCCAGTATTTTCTCCATCATGTTAAGATAAACATTCTCTCTACTTGTATTTTGGTTTTAAAAGCTTGGTTTATAGGAGACAAATTACATACTGGTGCCTATAACCAGCACGAGGCTACATGGTGTTACCCTGTCTCAAAGAAAAGCAAACAAAAAATACAAAGGAGGCTGGGGAGATGGCTCAGTAGCTGAGAGCACTTACTTAATGACATAAAAGCTTGTGTTCAGATACTAGAGTTCACATAACAAGCCAGGCAGGGTCTACTGCAATGCCTGTAACCCCAGGACTTTGAAGGACAGAGACAGGCAGATTCCTAACACTTGTTGGCTGCCAACCTAGCTAAAAAACATGTACTCCAGCTTCAGGGAGAGACCGTGCTGCAAATGAAAAACACAGAATGATAGATAAGGACACCTGAAGTCTTCTTCTGGCCTATGCATATGCACATAACACACACACACACACACACATGCACGCACGCACACATACCACCAGGCAAGCAAACAAATAAACTCCAAAACAAACAAACAAACAAATACAAACCTCAACAATACAAAAAAGCTCCTACTAGCCAACGATAAAACAATTTTGGGCACCAAAAACTATAACTGTGATGAGTTAAGTAAAGGTATTAGAACAACAAGTTCAAAAGAAAACTGAAAAAAGTCCACCCCAATGACTACTTTCAGAGGATGGTAGATAACCAACTTATTATTCTGGAAACTGAAAACAAAACAAACCAGAACATTCTGCTTTTCATGAAGGATTGCATTTCAGTATCACGAACAAACGCTTAATAATGTAACATAAGGGAAGAAGGAATGACAGAGTATCACTATTTCACACTCTGAATACAGCAATGAATGTAGATGATGACCCTAGGTGGCTGTTAAACTCTCCATGTCAGTAGGGAAATGTACAACAGTAAGAAGCTGACCACTCTTCAAACAATCACATGATAGAGAGACAAGCAGACACTACGTGGCTTCTGTGTACTGTGATAGGAAGCAAACAAGCCACCCACACAGACGCCTTGTGTAGACAGAAGAGTCACACATGACTCTGGTCAGAGCTCTAGATCTAAAATCTGAGCTGCCAGGAAGCTCGAGATGAAGGAACATGGCAAAGAACAGGAAGAGGTGTAACTGGGAAAGTCCAGAAGATACCAAATGCTGAGGACAAATGACCCAGGATCCCCCAACAAACGAAGTGGGTGGGAACCTATAGACCAGAAAAGGACCTTAGAAGATATTTCCAATGAGGGAGGAATTTGGATTCAGAGCCAAACAAATCAACTATATAAAAAAGTTATGAGCCATTGTGGGGCATTTAAACATTGAAAAGAAACTGAGGAACTGCTATGAAATTCTAAGGCAAGCTAATGACACTATTGTTGTATTAAAAGAATGCTTTTCACAGGTAGGCACTAAATGCTTGACAAAATTATCACATGTCTGAAATCTGCTTTATTATAATGCAGTGGAGGCAAAGGAGGAGAAATAGGGTAAGAAATGATGTTCCTGAACTGACAATTGCTGAGGCTGGGTGATAGGTACCGGGTTTGTTATTGTATTCCTTACACTAGCATCTGTTTGAAGCTTCTATAATAAACACGTCAAAAGAGCCAGTCCAATTCCTGTAGATGATCAAAACTCTACGCACAGGGCTAGAGAAATGGCTTAGTAGTTAAAGGCATACATTCTTCTTAAAGTGGACCAAGTCTGGTTTCCAGGATCTAAGATAGGTGGCTCACAACTCCAACTACAAAGTATCAGGCAACCTTTTCTGGTCTCCATGGGCATCTGCACTTACATTCACACATCCTCAGAAAAAGACACACACACACACACACACACACACACACACACACACACACAGAGAGAGAGAGAGAGAGAGAGACAGAGACAGAGACAGAGACAGAGAGACAGAGAGAGACAGAGACAGAGCGAGAGACAGAGAGGGAGAGGCAGGCATGCACACATGCACTAAATGGTAATGGAAAACGAGGCACATATTCCACACACTGCTTTTCCTCAGCATCAGTTAGGCTTGCTTTGGAAACACACTGACTTTCCTATTGTGTTCTACCTCCTCCTCCTCTCTCAAGTACCAGCTGGGTTTCTGCTGCATCCATTCAGGCTCAGGCTGGAGGAAAGAAGAAAGAGAAGCAAAGGCACAGAACTCAACATGATGACATCGGTAACCCTGGGCTGACACCCTTGTGATGTGATGTAGACACACAATGTTTCTTTTCTTTGTGGAAAACTCTATTTCCAGATTTTAGTGTTTTTTCCAAGATTTTCCAACCAAGGGGCCTTTGGGAGTCCGCTGGTCCCACTCCCTGTTCTGTGAATTTTACATCTCTGCCCATGACTCCAACACTCCTTCCTGCCTTGAAGCTGCAGATACACATGTCCCAAGGACACTCCTTCTCTCTGATGACAAACAGCTCTCCGACAAGTTTTTGCTGTTGTCTTACTGGGATTTAGATACAACTTTTACATTTCCAAGGCTCAGTGAGTTGGCCTCTAAAAGCTGTTACTTGGCTTCTGGGGAATATGAGCATTCAGGACTCTTCCCTCTGACTGGTGATAAGACATTTATAGTGACTCAAGAATGCAGGCCCCTGAT